ATTCTTCAACACCATATTTTTACTGTTGAAGATCGCAGTCTTGAGATGCTGTGGCGTTGAAGTATACTTGTCTTCGTTGTTTGGGTAAGTGCACGATTAGGTATTACAATCTTGCATTGAAGGAAAACCGAAAGCTGTAAGGTAGGAAAGGAGAGTAAGCCGATAGGCTGGGTATTGAAAATTATATTTAACAAAGTACTTGGGCCTCCTTCAGACCATGGACTTTTTTTTCGTTTCGTCATGCATTCGTTCTCGGTGTTAATCTCAATCGGCAACCATCTTTGGGGAACAATGTCGCAATAATTCTAAACAACCATCATGAGGTGCTGATACGATGTAAAGAGCCTGTGAGACTTACTCAATCTCGTTGCTGAGAGGTGTGATATCATGTTTGAAATCGAAGGTCGCCAAAGCTGTAGCCAGGACCAGGGCAATGTTCATCAGCGTATACTCCTGACCGATGCACTTGTGAGGGCCTGCACCGAAAACGAGGTAGTTCTTTGGGTTAGAGTTGGCGAGGCCCTTGGGATCTAACCATCGTTCGGGTTCGAGAACATCGGGATTGGGGTACACTTCCGGGTCGTGTAACGCATTGTAAAATGATGGGATGACCATACTGCCAGAGGGTACGGTATACTCTTCACTGATGGGGAATGCCTTGGTGGTCTTGTAGGGAACCTAGAACATGTTTACTTTTCGGTGAAATGTGTGCTAGTTGTAACTGACCATAGTAACTGGAGGGACAAGACGCATGCTTTCCTTGACAAATGCCTGTAGGTAGACCATTTCATCAAGCATCTCGATCGTCATTGGCGCAGCAAAATCGTCACCGCGGACACGGGCTTGCTCTTCGCGAACCTTGGCCATGATATCGGGATGATCAGCGAGATGTTGGAAACCGTAGATGAGACCGCTGCTCATGGCATCTTGCGACGCGAAGAGGAATGAGAGGACAACCATAGCCATTTCTTTATCAGTGAAGTCCTTCCTTCCCTTCCATGTCGGGTCAGAGAACAGGCGAACCCATTCATCGAGTAAACAGGTGGGCTCAGCACCACTAGCCATAGCCGCCTTACTTCTGGACGCGGCGAGTTCAAGCCAATACATAGCGGCCTTTCTTGATTGGACAGCCTTCCAGACTTTGGTACCAGGGAACGCAAAAGGGAAGTTGACAAGTTCAAGGGAAACGGTGATCGCCCAGTACTTGTCGCTAATTTCCTTGGTGGCATGGTCAGGAAGATGTTGGCCGCAGAAAACACGGAGAGAGGTATCCATGTTGAGATAACGCGCAGGCATCATGATAGGCATAGCTGACGAATCCTTGGCAGCCTCGGCGAGCCAATCCTTGAAGTGTTTCCTCGTGACAATGTCTTGAACCGAAACGTACATGCTAAGGGTAAAATTTTCAGGAAATTGACGCGTAGAATAGGTGAGAATGGCTAACCCCATAGCCTTGCGTGTGAACAAAGCGTTCAAACTACGACGGTAGTCGACGTGTTCCTTGCCAGTCAAGAATACCCTGTTTGGCAGTGAGATAATGGAGGCTGAAAAGTCGAAGGAGGCGTACCAGTTCTCTGCGAGAAGAACTTTCTTTGCGGCGTGCACGAGACAAGGCTCAGCATAGGCGGGGGAGTTGAGGATTTTGCGGGAGTATTCGGTTGAAGAAGCCATAACGATAAAGCTGGTACGATATGAGAAACTTGACAGGTAAGCGAGAATGTACACACATGTTGAAAACACTGATTGCGCTCAGTGCACCAGAATTCCACTGCTTCATGTAGCCCTCCATGGTGGGCTTCATGGAATCGGCAAACTTGCCAATGAGAGGGATAGTCCATGTGGCACCCGGGAGATGGCGTTTTTTGTATCTATACACGGTCTGTTCGAGGACAAGTAGCGAGGCAAGGACAGCGGCAGTCGTGTAAAGCCATGTGAAGGAGTCACGGGTGGCGAATTTGGGGAACAGCGAGGGGAAGAGATTGATGAGTGGAGCATTGGTCGAGGCTGGAATTCCGGCCGACTGGGAGGCGTTGTCCATGGCCATGGGAGGGATAAAGAAGAGACACCGTCCCGGCGTTAAGAATGGAATCAACAAGTCGGAGCCCAAGAAGGGAAACTTACTATGGCACGATAATCAGTTTTTTGTTGACCAATAAGAATTTGTCCATCACTCGGCGATCGGCTGCATGAGTGCCGCGCCGTGTCTGGATGGCTGCGAAAACGAACGCGGTTGGCCTTCACAGTGGGTCTCACGATGTCTTCAACGCCTAGATTCTCGTACGTGCGCGTCGCGCGCACGCTCTTACGTGAAGCGACCTGGCCGAAGGGAGACTGCACTGAAACGGGAGGAATTAACCGTTTATTCACCGTGACAAGTACAATTCACTCTTCTCGAGGCGTTTCTCCCAATACTTTCGCGTATTTGCATTGAGCACATCCTCACGGCTTTCCTGACTAAAATAAACGATCTAATTCTTGAACAGGACGAACGTGCATATGCCTAAAACCAATGTTCTCAATCATGGCGAACAAGATAACTTGTCATGAACGAGCTCGAGGAACATCCTTCAGGTGATTGTGGACAGTGAGTGGGCGTCGACGATCCGAGAGAATCCACGGGCACGTGCTAAACTCTCCAACCACCATCGTTGACGATGACGCTCGTTCTGACGCGTGCATCCTACGTCAGGCTAAGACTTGGCCTGGCTATATAAAGGCGATGTTCACCTCCAAAGGCTTATTACCTTTTCTCCCACAACCATGCACAGAATCGCTCTACAGGCGCTCGGCGTCCCGCCGCCTTCAGATCTCTTCACACAACCCCCGTCGCACGCAAGACTGTAACGGAGAAGGTGTCAGAGGTGGCCGACTCGGTACGCCACGCCGCGCTCATCATGATTGCTTCCACTAACGCGACATAGGTCAACAAGAAGTTGGGTAAAGGCCTCGCTTCGGCTCTCGAGTCTGGCGAGCAAGCTTCGAAAGCCACGAAGGAAACTATAGGTTTGCGGCTCGATATTATCTAGGCCTTCGCTCACGTTGCCATTCAGGATCGACGGCTGAGACTGCAAAGCAGAAGAGCAAAGATACTGCGAATGTGGCAGGACAGAAGATGAATCAGGTTGGTTTTCTTTCTGACTTGTCCTTCACATCGCTCATGTGCGCTTCAGGCTGAATCAGGGGCTCAGGAGGCGAAGCAGGATATCGAGAAGGAAGTTCGCAAATAGAAATGAGCATACATTGCAAGGTGTATTTGTATCGGCGCATTGTCATCCCATTTGAATCCATAAGAATGCATTTACTCTATCGCTTGCAAAGCCAACCCCAAGTGCACATAATTCCTTTTCTGACTGTATTACCCTAAGGTGGCGCAGTAAACCCTAGTTGCGGTATCGATATGGTATTGAAAGCATCAGTTGGGGAATCAATACTGATTTAGGTGGCGGCGCTGCGCTTCAGGCGACGGGCAGCTATTTCGACGTAATCCATTAAAACCTTTCCTTTGTTGTCAACAAAAACAACTATGACCACCGCAGGGGTCGAACCTGCAATCTCCTGATTACCTGTCTCGTAGTCAGACGCGATGCCATTTCGCCAGGCGGCCATGACTTGCAAGTCCGTTAATGTCAGACTCGGCGGTCTGAGGGCGGAACAAGACGGCGCCCAGCCACTGCGCTGGCGTTGGGGGCGGCGGGACTAAGGCGGGTGGCGGCACGGCGCTGCGCCATATCACGTGTATGAAACACCTGTTGATCACAGCAGTTTGTATCAGTACGTTATTTCTCGTGTCCTCTCAGCGTCACTCACGCAGGGCACTCGCAGGTCGCAACGGGTTCGTCCCGCCTGCACTATGCGCCACTCTCGATTACTTTGATTACTTCCGCCTGGTTATTTCTCACGCGTTACATAGACAAAAGTCTCATCGTATATTTTTTCTTACTCCTCATTGTCGTGTTAGGTATGCTAGTTCGTACTCTCTACTTATATGTCATTGTCGGGGTAGACACCTCAAAATTCGGGTACCCGCCCGTAGTACTTAGTACTCTTTCCATCCCTCAGTAGTATAGTGGTGCTTATCCCCAATACTATTCTCGACGACCTTTGGGTTGGTCTTCGGCTACCTCGCGGGATCGATGATTGGATACGGTTTTTTGTATCACCCCCGGAGGTTTTGTCCACAAACCTAAGCCTTAAAGTATGTGCCACCTAGGGGGTGAAGGAAACCTTTGGTTTTGATACACCTCCGGTTTACTGCGGTTAGTAACAGTATCAATACGGTATTGAAACCATCGAGGGTTGGTGGGGAGGTTTCGATACCGGCACGTGATTACTGCACGTGCCGGGGCGCCAGCGCTCAGAGAGCCTCGGGGTGGCGGAATTAAGGCGGGATGAGGGCGGAAGGGCGCTGCGCCACGTCACGTGCTTAAAGCACGTGCCGGTATCGAAACCGTTACTAACGGTGGTGGTCGGCAATGGTCACCAAATTTAAACTCCGACGCTGGCTGAGGCCGTGGTCACGTACTTGAGGCTGAATTGCTGGCCTCCCACCTCACTTTTGGGACATGTTTGTATGGAAGAAAAACATGGCATGATGCATCTGAAGAAAGTTATGGTTGCAGATTTTTTTCTTTTGCTTCTCTTCAAGTAGTAGAGCATCCAGCAGCCCTTTCGACATGTAAATAAGAAATCTGCAACGATAACTTTTATTCAAGGAATATTCCAAGAATTTTCGAAATTTTCCCAAGACCTGAGATGTGACAATACGAGCTCCAAACTTTGCAGAGGAATCAGCTCTTTGGATCCCGTTTGACAGGGGTTTCCTTTTGGGGCAATACCACTTTCTCGATCACGAATTTCTGGCCCGGTTGCCGACCACCACTAACGGTTTCAAAACCTGAGCCTCCTGGGGGCTGGCATCGATATCGTTAGTAACACCCCGGGAGGTTTACTGCGCCACCCTATCCTGCTTGGGTCCTAGGAAGATGAAAAATTAAACATCTAGCCCACCGCGAGGGTCGAACTCGCAGCCTTCAGATCGCCTAGCTATATGGTCCATAAGAGTCTGACGCTCTATCCGATTGAGCTAGGCGGGGTGTGTGACCTTTGTAGCCGAATAAAAACAGAGTCGGAAGCCCGAGTACAAGATTCTTCTTTTACTGCCTGACTGCTTGCTTGATTCTCCCTACTCTCCTTCATGTACGCAATACGGAGAAGCCCACACGTTGTTCGTTTGGCATTTCGGCATTCAGGGCATCTTGGGAAGCGATTCCACTCATATGAAACCGCGTACGCTGAGAAAATACGGCAACGATCATTACAGTAACTCTAATTCGCTGTCAGAACAAAGTGGAAACTCATCCAATACTACACAGAACCGGTCTCAGTGTCGAGGAACTCAGACTGAAAGCCCGAGAGAAGTTGAAAGAGGAACAGAAGGCAGCAGCGGCATCTCTTCCTTCCTTCAATCCTCCAGAAATCCCTAGCACCGCAGACAAACCCTCGACGCGTCCGCAAACTCGCAAGGATGGCTCCCCCATCAAGGTGAGCTGACTTTTACTACATAGCTTAACGAGTATTCTTATCAGCTCTTAGCCTCTCTCAGACATCCTACGCCTAACGCGCGTTGCAACTGCGACACCGGAACAGGTATCGGCGCTATGGACGGCCTACCATGCATCGCGTTCTGAAGGAACTGGCCGCGGTTATCTCTGTGCTGCCATTCCAGTCAATCTCTACAACAAAATGGCCAAAATCGGCGAAACCCATCCTACTTTCGTTGTGCCATTGCCGCGCCCGGATATGGAGGAACCTACGAATCCCGACAAAACGAATCACGAATTCTTCTACATGGAATGGGGCTTCCATCATTCTCCACCAGTACCATCGCCGAATGAGGACCCATTCGCCCCAACACCCCAAAACCAAAGCCCTAATCCAAGAGTATCAACAGTGCTCTTTACTCCGTTACAAGAGTACAAGCTGCGCAACTCCTTTGCGACGCCCTACCTGATATTAACGCATTACACCGACCTCGTTGAAAGCCATGGCATCGTCCTCCTACGAGGCGAAATAAGTCCGACCGTTGCTGGTGGCAGTAGTGAAGCACGGTTTATGCTCAGTCAGGAGGACGCCCAACAGCTGGCAATGGCGACCCAAAAGTTTTACCTATGGGGCGAAAAGGATGGTGAAGTAGAGGGCGAAAGGCTTCTTACAACGTTCCATAGCAAGCCAGAAGAGTTTAGCTGGCAAGACTTATTGAAAGCCTATAACAAGACTATTTAGACTTGATGATAGACTACATGACGATTATACGTGCATATCCTACCATACTTTGAGTCCAGCAACTACCTTCATCGTGCTTTCAATGTCATACTCGCCACACCTTCCGCTAACCTCGATAGTGTCGAGTAGTCAGTCGCTTTGCCCTTGCGAGAAGGTGACGGTGGTCGAGAGTCGTCCTCGGCGCTTTCATCATCACTCTCGTATTCCTCTTTCCGGAGGGCAGGTGCAAACGATGGCTTGACGGGGCTTCCCAGAACGCCCGTTTGCACAAGCATGTCGATTTTCTCGTCCATCTTGTTGTTGCTACGATCAACCTATGGAATCGTGAGACTCATCATGGAGACTAGAGAAAACGCGTTTACTTCTCTTCTCAATCGCTTCTCATATAGCCGCTCCATCCTTCCCATCTGGCCCTCCATTTCTTCCATGACTTCAGCTCTGGTTATGGCCTCTGTTTCAGCGCAATGAAGCTCAAGCTCGTAAATCTAACAACAGTAAGATATCTCGCTCAAAAGGAAGAAGACACCGAACCTGTAGTCGAAGACGGTCTATCTCTTCGAACAACGCGTCAACTAGAGGATTGGCAGGATATTCATCTTCGGCGTCCTCGTCGTCATGCGCCTCGTCCACTAAAACAGTGTGTAAGTCGTTGGTGCGCCAAGTAAAGGCGGCGCGCACGTTCCGTGACTTCTATGACTGCCTCTTCGTTCTTGAGTTCATTCCCTCGTGTGCCAGTGGAAATTGTGACTTTCCGTCGAGGAACAATATCCGGGGGGTTCGATCGTTGAGAAGGTTTCCCTTTCTTATGACCCGGGACGTCCTCTGGCTCATGTGGAACACGCTGCACGGGGGCGGGGGCTGGCGCCACCAGCACCTCACGTGCCAAAGCCGCGAACTTCATGACATGGGAGTTCTCATCGTAACCCGTGTCGTATGGGTTGACATTGACTATCATAGCCTGATACAATGTGTTAGGCCGCTGATATACAAGAAGCAAGAAGAGTGTTTTGTTTACCGCGCGCGCGTCTCCAACAAAATAGTCTTGGAGGATCTCTGTGAGTCTGCTATGACGGAAAGGCACAATAGCGAGTCCTTTCTTCACATCTCGTGTATCAACGCGTGAGGCGCCTTCAGGAGACAAACTCATGCCAACTTTCCGCTGGTTGGACCGCAAGGTCTCTAGACACTGGCCGAGCACCATGAGAGAGTTATTGATATTGCCCGCTTCCTTCAGTCTGTCCCCAGTCGCTTGCGTATACTTGGTCCGCTCTGACCCAGCGAGATCAACCAATGTCAGTCTTGCAACCTGTAGTGCAGAAGGATCCTAAAGCCGATGAGTCTCTATGATCCACGCAGAACAAGGAACGACCCACGTTTCTTTCACCGCGATGTCCGCGAAGGACCTTGATGAAGACCATGCCGTGCGATCGAGAACTTGCACTGTTGGCCAACGTACCATATACGCGACGGTGGAGTTGTCCAAGGTTGATCAGAGACTTGGCTTCCGCTGCCGTTTTGACCAAGTATTGGCGCAGTCCGGATATATACTTGCCCGGTGGTTCATCATCAGAAGGTGGGGATGGTTTCAAAGTCAAGGCTTGTCGCAGGACATGATGGGGCAATCTAGAACGCTGTGCTTGTACCTTTCCCATACGACTTTCCTGTAGAGAATCGAGCAGATCGTACACCTTATCATTGTAGACCTCGGCATATGAGATCCATATGCTGAATTCGTAGTTGTGGTCAACCGTCACCGTAGTCGGGTCTACATGCCCACCCGAAAACGCGCTATCAAGCTGTCCAATGACCTCCGTTAGCAGTGGTTCTGGAGTGGGAGCAGCATTGGCGACGTCTTCGGCAGATGCTTTCTCGACCCCGTGAAGCCGTGTAGGTTTATACTACGACTCAATTGATTCACTGTTCAATTGCAGGGTAAAGGACGAACCTTTGGAGCGTTGCTTCGAAGTCCCTCAGTACTGTTAAACAAAACATCTATGGCACGAGGAAGAATGCCTGCCGTCTGGGGCGCGGCACCACCTTGCATGGTGTAGGTTTTGCCGGCATTAGTCGCGCCGTACGCAAAGAGCAAAGCATTTTGTCCATGAAGAACATTCTTGACAAGAGGAAGTGTGGTTTTTGCGAAGAATTCGGCCTGGCCAGCATCGCTAAACACTCGAGTGAAGGAGTATGTTGCAGGTGGGGCGACAGACGAGGCTCGACTATAGGTCCGATTGGAGGGATCAGACATTGATACGGTTGTTTCTGAGACACAACGCAGATACGGTGCAGGAGGAGGGTCATCGCTGAGATGTGGCCGAACTCTAAGGAATGCCTATTTTCTTTCAGGGTGTATTTAGCTAAACATCGTTCATAGACGTACCATGATTGGTTCGATCGTTTCCTCCTCTTGCCTCACCACTTTCTTCTTCGGAATTGCATTGGCAGGAGATGGCTTCGCAGCAGGTGGTGCTACCTTTTTGGTCGATTTCGCGGCCACTGCAGCTGATGCGGCGGCGGCTCTGGAGCGCGTGGTTTTAGCAGGGACGGGTGGAGGCGTTGGTGTCGAGGATGTTGATGCTTTCGAGGTCGCTGCTTTGTTACGAGACGCGGCTCGTGTTGTTGGCATTCTTTTGTCGGCCATGATGGCGGAAGGACACGAGGATTGATAACCACGTGATGCTCGCGTTTGTTCTAATGTCACATCGCGTGATCTGCATAACGCTCACCAACAATGCCTTCAACGCTCCTCTCTTCCCACTACGACGGTGTCTATCGCCGGCCTCTACCATCTATTCACGACCTTCTTGTTTCTTGCTGGCTAGTCTACTATACCCTTTCCCGTTCTCATCATGGCCGTCATCGACCAACCCAACCGACGCAAATCCATCGCGGTCCCCAGAAGAAACAGCCGGAGCTCTATAGTATCGCGACCCAGGCGTCGTGCCCACAGTGGTGCTCACAATGATCTCAGCCCTCTGGCACGCTCTCGACTGTCGGTGCGTACCCTAAAGTCTACCCCAACTTCGTTGACTGACTTGGCCCAAGGGTCCATTCAAAGGAATCCTGAAATCTGCCTTGAAACCGGCTCCAACCGAGAATGCGCCGTCGGGGTCACAATCAGCCTCCCAAGACTCTGCCGAATCTCAATTGCACTCCCAGACGCCCGAGGTCGATGGAGATGCCACACAGTCTATGGAGCTTACAGAGGATTTTCAGGCTAAGATTCACGATGATTTTACAAGAAAATCGATGGGAAGACGTGTCAGTTTCCATGAACAGGCGTTTGTACGCGTGTTCGCTCGTGCCGATAATACGAACAGCACCGGTTCTCCTCAGTCATCTCCCAGTCAACTATCTTCCGACCCTCCCCAGGCTCCAGTTGTAAACGACGAGAATGCGTACTCTCGTGCAGCTCTTGCTCATCGTCGAAGCTCTGGTCGTCAATCGTTCGGCTCTGATATGGACTTGACAACCATTGGGTCAACCTCCGCCGTTATGGATGAATCGCTCAGTGACATGAGTGCCGACATGAGCGATGACATGGAGATCACAGAGGCCGTAAACAAACGAAGGCGTGTCTCCATGGCCCCGCAGGCAGACGAATCTTGTGAAATTGCCGATGAATCAATATCATTTTCTGAAGATCTATCTCAGGTCGAGGATGATGATACTGGACCCATGGAGTTTACAGTACCCTTAGCTCAGGCCCTGCGCCCCGCGAGCGAAGACCCTGTTTGGCTGGAACTTCAGAGGGCTACCCATGCTGGTACATCTTTGGCGTTGGATGATGACATGGACGATGAGGCGCTTC